AACGCCACATCTGTCCAGAAATCAAGTTGGAATGTCTTCTAGGGTCCCTTGGGCATCTTTCCTGGAAGTTTGGCGCAATTTCTTTTTTTGGCCAAATTTGAAAAAAATGCAAGGGGTTAGCCTTACATTTTTCGTCAAATTTGGCCAAAAAATGACTTTTCTCCAAACGACGCAGAAATGACTTTTGATGCAAGGAGAGTATCATACAACATTCAGACTGCCATAATTTCAAAGATTTGGGCACAAATAATCGAGTTATTGAGAAAAAAAAAATCATATTTTTCACTGATTTTGACCCCAAATTATCGACGCATTGTTCCTTTCTAACGCCACATCTGTCCAGAAATCGAGTTGGAATGTCTTCTAGGGTCCCTTGGGCATCTTTCCTGGAAGTTTGGCGCAATTTCATTTTTTGGCCAAATTTGAAAAAAAAAGCAAGGGGTTAGCCTAACATTTTTCATCAAATTTGGCCAAAAAATGACTTTTCTCCAAACGACGCAGAAATGATTTTGATGCAAGGAGAGTATCATACAATACTCAGACTGCCATAATTTCAAAGATTTGGGCACAAATAATCGAGTTATTGAGAAAAAAAAAATCATATTTTTCACTGCTTTTGACCCCAAATTATCGACGCATTGTTCCTTTCTAACGCCACATCTGTCCAGAAATCGAGTTGGAATGTCTTCTAGGGTCCCTTGGGCATCTTTCCTGGAAGTTTGGCGCAATTTCATTTTTTGGCCAAATTTGAAAAAAATGCAAGGGGTTAGCCTTACATTTTTCATCAAATTTGGCCAAAAAATGACTTTTCTCCAAACGACGCAGAAATGACTTTTGATGCAAGGAGAGTATCATACAACATTCAGACTGCCATAATTTCAAAGATTTGGGCACAAATAATCGAGTTATTGAGAGGAAAAAAAATTCATATTTTTCACTGATTTTGACCCCAAATTATCGACGCATTGTTCCTTTCTAACGCCACATCTGTCCAGAAATCGAGTTGCAATGTCTTCTAGGGTCCCTTGGGCATCTTTCCTGGAAGTTTGGCGCATTTTCATTTTTTGGCCAAATATGAAAAAAATGCAAGGGGTTAGCCTTACATTTTTCATCAAATTTGGCCAAAAAATGACTTTTCTCCAAACGACGCAGAAATGACTTTTGATGCAAGGAGAGTATCATACAACATTCAGACTGCCATAATTTCAAAGATTTGGGCACAAATAATCGAGTTATTGAGAGAAAAAAAAATCATATTTTTCACTGATTTTGACCCCAAATTATCGACGCATTGTTCCTTTCTAACGCCACATCTGTCCAGAAATCGAGTTGCAATATCTTCTAGGGTCCCTTGGGCATCTTTCCTGGAAGTTTGGCGCATTTTCATTTTTTGGCCAAATTTGAAAAAAATGCAAGGGGTTAGCCTTACATTTTTCATCAAATTTGGCCAAAAAATTTCTTTTCTCCAAACGACGCAGAAATGACTTTTGATGCAAGGAGAGTATCATACAACATTCAGACTGCCATAATTTCAAAGATTTGGGCACAAATAATCGAGTTATTGAGAGGAAAAAAAATCATATTTTTCACTGATTTTGACCCCAAATTATCGACGCATTGTTCCTTTCTAACGCCACATCTGTCCAGAAATCGAGTTGCAATGTCTTCTAGGGTCCCTTGGGCATCTTTCCTGGAAGTTTGGCGCGTTTTCATTTTTTGGCCAAATTTGAAAAAAATGCAAGGGGTTAGCCTTACATTTTTCATCAAATTTGGCCAAAAAAATTCTTTTCTCCAAACGACGCAGAAATGACTTTTGATGCAAGGAGAGTATCATACAACATTCAGACTGCCATAATTTCAAAGATTTGGGCACAAATAATCGAGTTATTGAGAGGAAAAAAAATCATATTTTTCACTGATTTTGACCCCAAATTATCGACGCATTGTTCCTTTCTAACGCCACATCTGTCCAGAAATCGAGTTGCAATGTCTTCTAGGGTCCCTTGGGCATCTTTCCTGGAAGTTTGGCGCAATTTCATTTTTTGGCCAAATATGAAAAAAATGCAAGGGGTTAGCCTTACATTTTTCATCAAATTTGGCCAAAAAATGACTTTTCTCCAAACGACGCAGAAATGACTTTTGATGCAAGGAGAGTATCATACAACATTCAGACTGCCATAATTTCAAAGATTTGGGCACAAATAATCGAGTTATTGAGAGAGAAAAAAATCATATTTTTCACTGATTTTGACCCAAAGTTTCGACGCATTGTTCCTTTCTAACGCCACATCTGTCCAGAAATCGAGTTGGAATGTCTTCTAGGGTCCCTTGGCCATCTTTCCTGGTAGTTTGGCGCAATTTTTTTTTTGGCCGAAATTGAAAAAAAAATTGCAAGGGGTTATTAGCATTACATTTTTCATCAAATTTGGCTCAAAAAATGACTTTTCTCCAAACGACGCAGAAAGGACTTTTGATGCAAGGAGAGTAATAAAATATTGAGACTGCTATAATTTCAAGAATTTGGGCACAAATAATCAATTTATTGAGAGAAAAAAAATCATATTTTTCACTGATTTTGACCCTAAATTATCGACGCATTGTTCCTTTCTAACGCCACATCTGTCCAGAAATCGAGTTGGAATGTCTTTTAGTGTCCCTTGGGCATCTTTCCTCTAAGTTTGGTGCAATTTCATTTTTTGGCCAAAATGGAACGCTGTAGATTATAAATTGAAGAATTCCACAAAGACACAAGACTTATATATGAGCTGGTTTATCAGTGTATACTGCATGAGTATTACAAATTATGCTAATTAATACAAAACTATGCTTTGTTAAAAGGTTCATGTATAAAAAATTATACAAAACTACAAAATATAGTTATAAAAAGTATGAATGTTAAAACTATAAAAAAAACTCTCATGATTATAAAGTATGGAATGGGTATATGGAATGGGTAAATTTAATTTTTGTTAATTTAATTTTCAATTTTCTACTCTTTCAAGTTTCATGTTAGGCACTTTGCCGAGTTGATTCAGATTTTTCTAATGCATTATGTATTAAGTTGTTGAAAACAAATTCAGATTCTATGCAAAAATTTAAACTGCTGTCTTCTTTTTGTGATGAAACATAAAAATAAATTGGCGTGTCAACTCAAAATGAGAAAAGATTCAAATTGAGCGAAAGCTTGCACAATTTTAGGACGATAACATGGCGATGCTCAGCACAATACTTTCAGCTACAACAATAATTCTCAAAGACTATAAGCAGTAAGCTTAAAACATACATGCTAACTTCAGAAGCAAAATTTGCATTAACAAGGTGCAATAGAAATCTCTGTTTATGTTTATCCCACTTGTAAAATAATATTTAGTTAGCAAAATCCTGCTACAGTAAGCACAACTTTTCAGCTTTAAAAGAGCTTTAAAAAAGATGGACATTTCAGAATCTTTGAGTATAAAAAATCCGAGCTGTTGATGAATTGTGCATTTCACTATTGATAATAAGCTATACTACGTACTGCACAGCAGTACACTTGTCTAGGGACTATCAATGCACAATTCATTAACAGAACTTTCCAAGAGTCTAACTTCATGTGCAAAGCACATAATTTTGCCAAACGCTTAAAACATTTGTTGGGTTGAAAAAAAAACAGCCAGGTTTTCGGCCATGAGGTCATATGATGGCCACTTCTTTTAGTTGCGAGCAAGTTCAAGTGCCAACTGTAGTTAACCATAGTTAACCATGGTCCAATATTTTGGGGGCTTGAAATGCAAAGCGATTCTTTGGATGTGTTCGGAAATGTATAATTAATTCTACAAAAGCAGCCATTGTGCAATTTGGATATAAGCTCAAAAGATGTTCTGAAGTTCAAAAACACTTCAAAATGTACGTAAACAATGCAAAACATTAGAATTTCACCTTTTTTCCGAATCTATGTGAAGTCATAGTATCATGAAAAAGCAGACATGCATACATGATAGCAACAATCCTACATTGTCCAATTTACTTGCAGAAACTAACAAATAAAAATTCTTTGGTCCGCTTTCTCAGCCGATAATAAAGTAAAACTTAACAAAAACAGAATTTTAGCTATATCAGTAACATAAAAACAGATGAAAATGTCAGTTGAGTTACATTTATTTGTCGCATAAACTGGCTCGTAATCTAAGTAAACAGGCAGAAACACACTTAAAAGTTAGCAGCTACATTTTGTGTTGTTATACTGGACAAAACAAAAAGGATTGGTGAATATGGGCTCCGTGCATTAAAAAAAAGTGCGCATTTTTGCCATTTGAGAACGCCGTGGACGGGACACACAGCGTGTGCGTACTGTACTGTACTTGTTCGCGCGCTAAGTACGCACGACTTCCTGAATGTGCCTGAGCTATTAGCCACAGCGTCTTCGCGTGAGCGTCAGGTGTCGTCGGCACGCGAATAAGTTTGAATTTAACTTGCGATGGTCTCGCAGACTAATCCCCGCCCCCAATAACTTTGGATCATTGGAAATACGCAGAGGATGGATCGGGAACCAGTCTAGGTCACCCCAACTCTCCTTTTCTGACCATTGAAGAACTTGTGCACGGAGCCCATACAAGGTACAAGAAAAGTAATAATAAAAATGACGTGCATCACCTCATATATGAGACCTCCCACAAAACCTGACGAAGTTGACACCTTTTTTTTTTAAAGTTTTGGCATTTTCAAATTCCTGAGGTTTTTCAGCGTCAAAATGATTCATGATTTCTTAGCTTCCGTGATCCTATCACCCCTCGGAGGACAGATTTAAGTGATAAAAGCCTAACGACCCAACTACGAAATCACCACACATATTGAAATGCTTTTTGTATAAATTCCTATACACGTTTTTGTTACTAAATTGACCCAAAACACACTTCTGCTTGATGGATTATATTCATATTTTGGGAAGTTGTAAATTTGTACGTACTGATGCACAAACTCTCAAAACCTCAAAATGGTCAATTCCCCCCCCCCCTAAAAATGACTTCACATGCTTTTTGTGCAAATACAATATCTGCACCTTGTCCAGATTTTGTTGAAGCAGGTCTCGTATATGTTACATACAAAGAGCTCCACTCCTACTTATCAATGTGAGCAAAAAAGCTGTTTGTTCCCAGTTCCAGAATTTCGAAACATGCCCTAGTGGTTATTCTAGCTATCTACTACGCCCTGCTTTTCAAATCTTCGGGCCTGAGATGGTCAAAAGTTATGAGCACTGCCGGTGGAGAAAAGTACTTGGACAAACACAGACTGCGTAGCGGGAGAAACATTATCTTTTCAGAGCTTTGTTGTGTGTGTGTGGTTACCTAATGTTTGGTTCCAATGCCTTGCTGAAGGCTCTCGCGTTCCACCTTGCGCTGGTGCGGCTTGCAGTAGATCTTACCGTTGAACAAGGCGTAGTTGGACAAACTGGACAGAGAAAAACAAAAATGGAAAGCCCATGGATTAGGCCAAAACAAAAAAAGTCTCCGGTTTCTGGTATTGAGCTTGCCCCAAAAGTGGTGCGGCGACGCGGCTTTTTTTCTTTTTTTTTCCTTCAAATGTCAGCTGATGACTGCAAATGGTGCCCGACTAAATTTAGTGCAAAATGTATCGGAGCCCAGAGAGGCCACATAGAGCTTATACTCAATCATAACCCCATCTAAAAACACGTTAAAATTGTGCAGTTGCAGGATTCCAGTCAAACCAGTGAGTTTGGCGGTTTTGAGACATCATCTTACATTGAAAAAAAAAACCTTTTTAATTATGCGGACGCACATGGCTACGGCGACGCGCGCGCATACCAGAAACCGGAGACTTTTTTTTTTTGGCCTTCCTGAAATTAATATCTATCTAAAGAAAAAAATCCATCCAGTCACTGACTATGGTACTAGCAGGAAAACCAGATTCGAACCAGCCAGCTAATGTGCACACCGTCGCCCCCCCCCCCCCCCCCAGTGGACCCCCTTAAACTGGAAATTTGGCAACAAGAGAAAATGAATCAACCCTGATGATCGTGTTTAATATTAAGATTTTGTTCACATTTTTGGGTTATCTGTGACGAAAACCCTGTTTTTTGGCGATTGGCCGTTTTTTGTAACGTCCTGTGCAAAACGACTTGCGCCACCTATTGTCTGACAATGACCATGATTTCGGTTTTGAACAGCGCCCCCAGGGAAAGATGGTATCCTCCCCAAACCCCCGCTGATGAAGCCAGTGAAGTAGTCTTAGTCCACGACTGTATTTTAATTTTGTTCTTCTCATGCAGCCAGTTCCGATCCATGGCAAGCGCGGTCAAACCGTCACAACGGTAGAGGGAACTCAACAAATCAAATCCAGGATTGGGAACTTTGGCACAGATATCCGAGCAAAAAGCTAATGCGGGCAGGTGAGGTATGCTTGGAGTTCCTTGGGTATTAAAGGAAAAGTTCTGGCAACACTTGCCAGGATTTTGGAGCAGCTACATAAAAGGGAATAAAATTCAAATCCAGTTTTGGATCAAGACTAGAGATGAAGCCTGAAGCTGGAGTTCAAGCCGAGTTTTTCAAAAACACTAATGATCTTTACCTCGTCACCTTCTTGCAGTATTCACATTTGAAGCACTGCTTGTGGTAGAGTTTCTTGGCCACTTCAAGACGTTCCAGGGTGTAGACATTCTTGTCGCAGATGCAGCACTTGTCGTACGTTGGCGCCTTCCAGGCGGAACGGCCGGACTACAATATAAAAAACAACAAAAACAAGATGTTGATGTTAACACCTTAAGGCCCTAAAAAAAAAATCTCCGGTTTCTGGTATGCGCGCGCGTCGCCGTAGCCATGCGCGTCGGCAAAATGAAAACGTTTTTTTTTCAATGAAAGATGATGTCTCATAACCGCCAAACTCACTGGTTTGACTGGAATCCTGCTGCTGCACAATTTGAACGTGTTTTAAGATGGGGTTACAGTGCGTGAAATTACAGTCGGACATCGGACATTTTCCGACCACTTTCATGGTTTGTCCGACCAAATGCAGATGTGCTCGGACAAAATGTCCGAGCGATTTATGTATTCTTTGTGGAGTTGTCTTTTTCAGAAGTATGAAATAAACGCTTGCACTCAAAAGTATTTTGTTGTTTATTTCCGATGATCCGGTCTGTAATACTTACCGTACGCTGAGCGGCTGCTAACTACATGTACGTGTTGTCTTATATTCACGCAATAGATGCAACGCGTTTACACCCCAATCATTACACAGTCTAGTACAGTGCGGCGTGCACAGCGATAGATTGGCATTCGTACGTACATGCCGTTTGCCAAAAAATAGACGTGAAATCAAGTCGATAAATTGTGTTTCGATCAGCAGTCTTCGTGTTTCTTCTACAAATCAGTTAATACAACTTTTTGTACTTTTCAAGACATTTTATGGAAATGAGCAGTGGCCGTTTGTGGAATTCCCAGTTAATTTCTATTGGGCAAAAGTGTTAAATTGGACCTGATTCAACCTCTATTCCTTGCTATAATGATTCGATCGAGCCTCTTTGGACATTCAGAACTGCAATTTCACCCAGTTTAAGTTATGTGTTCTGCAGACTTGAATCGAGTCTGTATAGTGACGAGTCGAAATATAGAGTATTATAAGGACATTGACGCGCATACATGTAATGAGAATTTAGCAAGATCAAAGTACGTTGTGTTGCGCGGTATGCTTTAAGTGCGTGATTGTTACTAAATTCTCACAACGTGGCTTACTACAGAAACGAGCGGGTGAATCAAATTTGGAACGCTAAATGGCAGATCAAAACTTGACAATGGCAGAACACTTTTGATTGTGCTCGGACATTTTGTCTGACCACTTTTTTTGTCTAATTTCACGCACTGGGGTTATGATCGAGAATAAGCTTTATGTGGCCTCTCTGGTCTCCCATAATATTTGCACTAAGTTTAGTCGGGCACCATTTGCAGTCATCAGCCGACATTTGAAGCAAAAAAAACAGGTAAAAAAAAAAAAAAAGCCGCGTCGCCACACCACTTTTTCGGCAAGCTCCATACCAGAAACCGGAGACTTTTTTTTTTTTGGCCTAATGGATTGCTACTTAAGGCTCACTAAAAAGCTTTGAGCCAAAACAGAATTATAACTTGCACACAACGGGACAAAGAGACAATGCAGTCTTGCTGGTAGAAAACGGAATAAACAAAATCATACAGGGTAGCGACAACATTGAAGGCACTCTTGTTCTGAAGTTCCCACACTGACTTGTGTTAAGTTTTTTGCTGTGTAGGTACTACACACTGCTTACCAATCCAATGGCCACTTGGCGCATTCATGCACAGGCAAAACTCCCCATTATTCAAATGCCTTTATCTTCGGATTCGCCAACCGCAAGACCAAAGGCCACTCAAGGTGGCAACAACAAGGAAAGAAAGAAACGTGCAAATAGAAAGAAATAAAGAAACTGTTGACGCTTTTGCTTTAGGTGAAATCAACTATGGACTGCGGGAAAGCAGTGTTCTGGAAAGGCGTTCCACAGTCAGGGAGTATGGAGAGGGGGGGGGGGGGGGAATTGAAGAAAGAAAATCTTCTGAAGTTTTTGTTTTTACCCTTCTGATATCAGGCTGGTCTTCGCCGCGTCCCTTTTTATTCTGGAACATGCTGAGTCTGCCTTGCACCCCGCCGCTGGCCGCAATGCCCTCGTTACGCTCCTGTAGGAAGGACTTCTTCACTGGCTGTTGGCATCAAACAGAACAAGAGAGGAAAAGAACAATCAAAATTTTGTTTTGGAAATACTGATTACCTGGCGGTATTCCTTACATTTTTGAGAAATTTGTCATCACTGTGACAAGCTCATGAGTACTTTTTGCTCAGTGATTTTCTGAGAGACATGAGAAAACTTCAAAAATGTATTCAAGTGATACTTTTTTTTATAAAGGAAACAAAAATATATGTCAATACTGGCGCTCTAGGCGTGACGTCATTATCCGGTTCGTTAGTAAAATCGTCACACAGGTTTGTGCGCCCACCACTGATTACTAGTGCCCATGGATAAATGCTCGAGGTGCCTTAACTTCCGGTTCGATTCGTGCTATGCTACACTGTGTGAAGTACGCATAGTTAAATTGAGACGACGTCGTCAGCTTGGTAAATGTTACTCAGACTAATGAACTGGATCTGGTTCTTTGATAAAAACGTCATACACGCGCGCGCACCACTGATTACCAGCGCCCATTGGCTAAACACTCAAGTTGCGTTAGCTTCTGGTTCCAATGGTTCCATTGCTACTTAATGGCCACTGGGTGTGGTTTAGACTGAACTGCCGTCACACTTACGAACCGGATTACCCCTGCTCATCGTGCCAATGAAACGTTCCTCAGCCTGCCTTAGCTCCCTGGGGAGTGTACATCTCAATGCCGCTTTTTCAGTGCAAAAGACAAATTCAAAGACAACCATATCGCCCTCACAGGTCGGCCTACCCATCTAATATTGTGACAATGTGTGCTGCCCAAGGACACACGCACCACGACCCCATTGGCTGAACCCAGACCCACAATATGTAGAACTTCGTTCAAGATTTTGAATTTGAGACCTCAGATTCTTCAGGCCATGGCATTTCATTACTTGTCTTCTGTCTTGTATACAGGGTGAGTCAAAACCACCGTTTTAATGTGCTGTCCACAGATCACAAAAAGGTAAGTGTTCTTTCAGCAAAACGAAAACAAATCACATCGGTATGTGTGTGAATTGTTTTTGTTTTGCTGAAAGAACGCACACCTTTTTTTTGTGATCAGTGGACAGAACTTTAAAATGGTGGTTGTGTTTAAAATTTCCAAAAGTAAATGAGTGATTTGAATGAGTCTTGTACTAAAAGAAAGCTCATGAATTGGGCTTTCATATCATAGATTTTGAAAGTGCTACAGGCAAAACTTCATTCAAAAATTGTCCTGGCATTTGGAATGCGTTTTTGTTTACTCACCCAGTACAAGCATTGACCAAATATTGACTACTGTTTTTGCATAAACTTTTTAAGTATGATTTATTTTAAAGATAGTGTCCAATATAATGTTTTTATTTTGTTGTAATTTATTAAGGTTTTTACCTTGTCTTCAACGAAGAAGCCCTTCTCCTTGATCTTGCTGACAAGTCTGAGGAAAAGAGGAAGAAAGACCATAGTAATTTTTTCTTAATGTGGATTTGAACACAAAACTTTTTTCATTTCATTTAAAGGCAATTACGTAATACCAAGTCAGGTGATGGGGTTTTTCTTTAATGCAAAATCCAGCATTTGTTATGTCAAGTTGACAGCACTCACCCAGTGTCAATGGTGGCCACAAATGGTTTCTTGGGAGCACTGCGGAAAAAAATGAGGTCAAAAATGTATGACTTTTAATAAAAGTGGGGCTAATTTCACAAGGTATTTTGTTGATATTCCTTCCTTCTCTCTGAGCTCAATTTTTCTAGATAATTGGAAATATTTTAATATACTTAATCTTGATAAGTCAAACTCTGATAACTCAAAACAACTGTTGAGTCAAACAAAAAATCCATTGCCTTCCATAGTATAACAATGATATGCAGCCCTGCTTAACTCAAGCTTAAGTCAAATTTGAACCTGTTCCCTTGGGTTTGACTTATCAAGATTTCACTGGAAACATTTCGTTTAATTTTAAGTAAAAATGCAGATGTACCATTCACTGACATTTTTAACCTTTATTTAAAGGGAAAATACAACATTTGCAAACATTGAAAAATAAAATGACTAAGTTTTTACTAAATACCTTACAGGATGTTGGTAAATGACAGTCTAAAGCATCCTTTAGAAATTATGGCACCTGGTGTGAAGTCATTTTCAAGAAAATTGTATTTTTGTTTACATTTCCAACGGTGGTCGGCCTACCACCGTAGGAAAAACCTAACTATTTTTCACTACTGCTCCAAATTTACCATTTTTTCAGTCCAATTTTGTTTGCTAATTGGTTTTATGTTCATGAATGGGTGCAGGTCAGCTAGACTGGTTCTCTTAGCGTACAATTTTCTGGCATCTGTAAATTGATCCATTTCATCTTCAGTGGAGTTAGGGAACCAGACTACTTGAACATTTTTGTTTTTCTTGGTTTTTCCAGCATTTTCGAAAACAAAACTTCAAACATGTCAGTCTAACAATAATTTGATCTATTATACTAACCCCTCAAATAGTTCATTTCTGAAAATTAAAGCATAAGCCAATGATGTACATTCCCTTTAACTGTGGGATAACAGCTCAACAAATCATCACGTCTCTCCGCTGGTCCGTTAGTTAGTTAGTAACAAACCTTGACAGTGTCTATTGCTCCTACATTATTTTGACCGATTTCAACCAAACTTTGTCAAAAGTATCAGTAACCCAGCCCCAACATGTCACATGACTAAACTGGGGTCAAAGGTCATCATGGATCACTGGAGTCAAAAAGCTGATTTTTTTTTTACTCAAACACTACTCCTTCCAGAAATTACGTGCCACAATCACGTGACTCATGCATGAACACGAGCAGGGTACCAGCAAAATTGAAGAGATCATTTTGTTCTGAAGTATAACATTTTGCAAAAACCTTTGAACAGGGAAGTGTTTTTAGGTGTCTTGTTTGTCAAAACTGTCGTGCAAACGAAACTTCCATCTCTTTTTGATTGTATGAATTTATCTGCCGCGGTTATCCCGCAAAAAAAAAAAAATCGTCAAATCTTGCTGCGCACCAGACTATTTTGGAAAACTGAACTGGCTTATTATCTTCACTTTAGGCATGTGCGAAGAGTCCCTATTTCAGAGTACAACTTTCACATTATATTGTCAATCGTTTTCTTTTTTTCATGCAAAGATACAAACATGGAAACATTCACGCAAATACATAAAAATTAATCATTCCATGCTTACCTCACTTTGCTCAGGTCTCCAATCCTGGAATTCAGTACATTCAACTAAAATGGGGTAAAAAAAAAGAGAGGAAAATAAAATTACAGACAAATCCTGTATTAAAATAAACAAGCTTTGGACAACTTTAAACAAATACACACACATAGTCTACCGAGTTACAACCTCAAATTTCTTTCTTTTTTTCCATTCTTTTCTTTTCATTCATTTTGGCTAAATGCAGAACTGCATTGCCAAAAAAATTCAGATGCCGAAATATTATTTCAGGATTCGAAAATAGATGGGTTGAAATGCAAGGACGTCTATTCAGGATTAGTTTCCTCATATCTAAACCTACTGCCAGGGTAGTCTTGTTCCAAGACTGGGGTTCTCCCCCCTATTTTGTAGCCAGTCCCGTGACAAACGCATTAAAGGTGCCACGGCAGTGGAGGTCTCTATCAATAAGGTGCATCGAATCCAGTCTTGGCAATATTGGCAGCGCTACTCGGGAAATTCCGAGCCTACCTCACGTGCACCCATTAGCTTGAATACAGCGTGCTTGAAGTGTGCTCGGAATTCCCAGGTAGCGCTGCCAATATTGTTAATACTAGATTTGATTTATCTGGTTGATATATATTTATATGATAACGACCTCCCTTGTCACGGACCGGCTGTATAAGGGGAATAAACTCCAAAAATCCAGTCTCGGACGAAGACTACTACCAGGGATGAGATTGTCAATTAACTAAAGTCTGAAATTTGGATGAAAGGTCTGAAAGATAAAAATTTCTCAGATTCAAAAAGTCTGATTTCATAAAATCTCAAAAACCTCATGCCTGTACAATGTACGTGTATGTCAAATTCTGCAATAAACAATTTACAGTATAATGCTGCTGCTGCTGCTGTTTTGCCATAGTCCTCATAGAACCGTTGGCATTCTCTTGTGTGCCTTTGCTGTTGCCACGGCCATTCCTCCATTCGTCCACTTCCTGATGTTATCGATCCATCCTGTTTTCCTACGTCCTGGCCTGGCCTTCCCTTCTACTTCTCCTTCTACTGTCATCTGCACTAGGCTATCTGATCGGCGCTTCCAATGTCCATACATAGACAGCTTCCTCTTCCTTAACTGGGCAAGCAGACCTTCCTCTTTTGAAACTCCCACCCTTTGGCGGATCCATGCATTGGTCTTTCTATCTTTGTATAATGCACGTGTACCCTAATGAGACTAAATCTGTGTTGGCAAGTGGTCAAGGGTTAAAGTTCAACTTACATCATACTCCTGGCGTTGCTTACGCTTCATGAGGTCAAACGTGACCCCGTACAGCTCCACAAGCTTGGCCTATGAGACAAAAAGGATGATTACAAAAAAAAATTAAAAATTAAAACAAAAATCTGAAATGAATCAAAAGAAAAAGGTAATTTTAACAATGGTTAGGGTTCATGACTCATGATCAGAGGGTCAGGGTTCGAATTCAGCTGCTGGCCATATGTTGTGTCCTTGGCTATGCCACTTCACCCCCACTTGCCTCTCTCCACCCAGGAGTATAAATGGGTACCGGCATTAGCTTGGGGAGTAACCTGCAATGGACTAGAATCCCATCCAGGGGAATAGAAATATTCTCAGTCATTGAAAGCTAAGGAAACCCAAAATAAAGGCCAGCCCGATGGGCCATATTGGCTTGTGACAGACTTAACTTACTACTACAAGCAAAGAAATGCTCAGGAATTTAGGGTTAACCACTTCGCGCCGGGTTTATTTTTGCCGAAAATTTCAAAAGGCAAAATTTCCCAGCCAACTGCTGATATACAGCCAAACCCGTCAATTACCAGAGATGCCACAGGGTCTCCTTGCAAAGAAAACGGAACTGGGTCTGCTTGAAAAAAAAAACCACGGAATTTTTGTGTGTGTGAAAAAGCCACTCCGAGGCCGACACAAAGTCCCCGTTGTCATCTTTATTTGTAGCCAATCCCAGTTCCGTTCATTTTTTAATTTTGCATCTATGGCCTTTAAGCTGTCGGTCCGTTCAATCACTTTGATTTTTTTCCATATTCCTAATAATAGCAATATTTGTTCTGCCTACCTAAATTTCCAATGTAATATTCGACACGAATCATGCACGATTCCAAAACACTGCTGTCGGTGTCTGTACAGTACATGACCGTTGCATGCACTACACGATGCGCTCAACGAAAACATGGTTGGTACCCGGCGTTTTTTGCATTCACATATATTACTGCGATCAGAAACCACCGATAACTGAAATGATAGACTTAATTTCCAGGTTGTTCGCAGGTGTTTAGACATCAACCAGAGGCTAGTCAAGGCAATCTTGATGTCTTAACCCGTCAGCCTTGCCTGTGCACAAAAACAGCCAGTGCGTGAAATCATGGCCTCCGGCACGAACTGGTTAAGGAAGGTTTGTGATGAAAAAATCACCTGCAGAGCAAGAGCCAGCTCCTTGAGGTTCTCCACGCTGGTGTTGGCTGAGATGTCCAAGGGTGGGACACACTCTTCCAGGGCTCTAGCCTTGTGCTCTGCTCGCTCCTCGGGTGACATGGATTTCTCCTTCTCTGCCTCTACCACACTGTCCTAGAATATCAATTACAAAGACAGAGAAAGAGATTTAGAAGGAGGGAGGGTGCTGTATCATCAGCAGTCAGCTGTGAATGCTACAACCAAATTTTACCAGGGACTGAGTTCAAGGATCGTTTAAGCACACCTGCTTTCGTGGATGTCTTTCACCATCGCTTAGAGATCGCTCACAAGTTTAGATTATTTGAATCCATAAAATGCTAAACCCAAAATATTGAGGTGATGATCGAATATTTGAATATTCGAATATTCTGCACAGCCCTACCTGCGACAAGCAGAGGTTATTGAAAAATCTCTGAGCTGCAAATTTAAACGTTTATTATTTCACACCCAGATTTAGTTTTTTTTAATTATTAAAGTACAAATGATTCTACAGTCTCTTTCATATCACCCAGCGATGAGAATGCCTTACCGTGACGCTGTAATTGGGGCGGATGTAGCTCAGTGAGTTCTGGATGTTGCGACGGCGTTCCTCCGCCTCCTGGCGACGCTTCTGAATCTCCTCCCGCAGCTTCTTGGCATCCTCCTTCAAAAACAAAATAATAATAAAAATAACAATATATGTCACAAACAGTTCCCAACTCTGTGGAATGGCCCATGTAAAGAAAGGCAAGTGGAGTTGAAGGTAACAGACACCATTTGCCAAGTACTCAAAAATGAAACTGTCAAAATATGAAATATCCTACTTGATTGTATGGTGGTGTACCCTAACGTGGCGCACTTCGAAGCATACCCAAATTTCCTCGTGCAGTGTTGCCAAACCTCTTTGTTGACAAACCTCAAATTCATGCAGTGAAATACTGGTACTTTTACCTTATTAATGCTTGCTGTTTAACCTCCGTGAACAATTTCGGTTTCATAAAATTTAAGCCGAAATTAAAAAACGGTGGCGTCCGGAAATTGGGCACAATTTGGCGGAGTGTTCCCTAACGTGGCGCACTTAAATAAATCTCGGGAAATTTTAAATTAACATTTAAGAATTTCTTAAAACTTGATAAATTCTGATAAATCATTATTATCTCTACTTACATACCCAGCCAGATGTTTGTCACAAAATTATTTTCTTATTTTTCGGGGCATTTTCAAAGGGTTCACTTTGCACTTGAAAATAAAATCGAAAAATCACGCCAAAATAAGTTTTTCTTTTAACTTTGTAGCGGGTAAATAAATTCGCGATTTATGAACGGGAGTGTTTATAACTTGATGAAATTTCACTTTCTGTGAAATTTCAGTTAAAACTTTTGCTCTAGCTAGGCGCTACAGGCGAAAAATCAAAGTGCGCCACGTTAGGGGCCACGCCACGTTAGAGTACATCAACAATAAGTACATTTCACAATTGTTGACTGCTGTGATGTGGGATATGACATTCTGAACACCCAAGGGGCGCATAGCACCTGAGGCGAATGTTTTGTTATATCTCTGTCTTGCATTCTTTGGATTTTGATGTAAACATCACAAAAAAACACACCAGGAAACACAACAATCATGACACTCGAACGTCAACTCACATGCATGTCGCATGCTCAAAACAGCTGATCGTCTGCTAGTTCACTGCTCCCACTCGTGTGTGAAAATATGGTGAAAATAGCGTGGGTACCAACGATACAAGCATTTTACACTACCTATGTAGACGTACGTGATATCCCACAGGGAGTGTGCCATGACTTTTTATAAACTTAACACGTGATCGTTCTAGGCCAATGAAAATACAGCATTCAAGAGCTCGGTATAACAAAATAGGATCGTGCATCCTGTGAAATCATTATACGCTGCCACTGTCGAGAAAAGAGGAATTACCATCATTTCCTTGCAACGGATAGGACCAAACCGTCGCACTTTCAACGGAACCTACGCTTTGTGTTGAGAAAAAATAAAGATGCATTTTCACAGTTTTCGACAGCTAAGTATTTTCATAACCTGCTTAAAGTGTATTGTTGTTCCTTGAATCTGACAAAAACATTTTTTTTTGGAAAATGGTGTCCACGCGCCTCACTATCACTTCTACACTCATGGTTCCACGGTCGCGCTGTAAACTACAGGACACGTTTGAATAGGGAACAGGGTCCAGACAACTGCAAACAAGTGCCATTATACAATTGTTGCCTGCTGTGACGGGGTCCATGGTGTTTTGTTCATCCGAGGGTGCAAATGGCACCCGACGGTGTACAAAACCCATGGACCCCGTCACAGCAGGCAACAATTGTTCTGTTATACCACGGTAATAGATTACTAACGTCTGAAACTGTGGGTCTCTTCCTGTTGCGGTATAGAATTAGCAAACTTTTCACACAGAATTTTTTCCGTATTTTTCTTCGTGCTGATGCTGTCCAGTTCAATAATCAAATTTTCTGATCTCGTCTCTGGAACAAGACAGCCTCTTCATTGGAGGTGACCTGTTATCATCTGCCTCAACATTATGGTGAAATTACGGCGAAATTTGCACAGTTAAAAAAAGTAGACAAACAGTGACGAACGATGTAAACAACAATGGCGGTCATAGCAGAAATATTGCTTCACTGTCCCCCATGGCACATCTCGTAAAAACATACATTGATTTTCGTAGTACCAGTGTAGCTACAACCTTGTTCCCGAGGTCACACAACTATACAATGCGGTGGAAATGACATTGTCAACAGCGGGAAAGAAAAAGGTAATGTGCCCCGTGGGGAACATCACTCATGTACCACGCGCAGGAGGCGTACATCGTTATACATGGGGATTTGTGGCATGACATGTTATAAATGACGGACCAATAACAATTTATAATCTAAAATCGTGGTATAACAATTAAACTTGTTGACAGGATGATCCATTATCCATGCCCTGCGGTAAGGCTGGCTAGACTCACTATAAGGATTTTATTACACAACCACGTGGTTCTTGTCTGAGGGCTGGGGTTTGGCTAGAATTTTCACAGTCAATAGCTCACCCCAAGCTAAACGGGCACTCACCAGGTTTTTTTGGGCATGTTTGAACAAGGAACTTATGAAATGTAAAATTTTGATGACCAAAAAATGTCAGAATATTAAAAAAATTGAGCAAACCAGACTTTATTTTAGAGCACAATCAGCGGAGGGCAGGGTTAAGAACCACCTCTGTCAGTGTTCTAAAAAAAAGGGGGATGAATCTAAAATATGTATACTAAAACTCACCGCTTCACGGGCCTGCCTCTCTTCCTCTTCTTGCCGAAGACGTCGCTCCTCCGCCTCCTGCTTCAGCCGACGTCGCTCCTAAAAGATCAAGATGATAGGTCCAGCAACAAGTCAAACACAGCCAACTTAATTGATTCATAAGTGCGTTATGAAGTTTGACATGGAAGTTCAACCTGACCAGGGCCAAATTTCATGGTGCTACTTAAAGGCACAGTCCATCATTTGCAGCCATCCGAAAAGTAACTGGCGTAATTATTGTTGAAAAACAAACTTGGTTGAAAGATAGTAAGGGAACTAAACTGCCTGTGAAATTATTCTTTCTGGGAAGCTGTCATTTTGAAGTAATCAACGAAAGAAGGCATTTCCAACGGTGATTCTTAAGAAGCACCGTAGGAAAATTTAAATTAGTAGTACGTTTTGTTATTCAGCGCAGCGCGCACAAGTATTGGAACGACGCACACGCGCGCGTGGTTGTTATAATTCGTCGGATCAGTGCGCTACGTCGCGTATAGCTGCAATTCAAAACATGATTCAGTAACTTTTGATTTGAAATTGAGATCTTAGAATGCTGTTTTTCTCGGAATGTACAGCTGAAGCTTAGCTGAAACTTCATCAGGTTAGTTGCTCAGTATCCTTCATTAGATTTTGAACTCTTTTGTTGCTTCAAACAAACAAAATGCACACATTACAAATGATGGACTGTAGCTTTAAAGGCACAGTACCGGTACATCATTTGTCATTTGTTTGTGTTTGAAGCAACAAAAGTGCTTAAACTCATAAGGAGGGTGCTTACCAACTAACCTGATGCACTTTTAACTCTGTGAATGCTGTATATTCTGAGTAAACAATATTCTAGGATCTCGATTTCAATTCGAAAGTTGCCGAGTCATATTTTGAATTGTGCCCGAAATTAGCATCCGGGACACGTTCTCCATCAGCCAATTGCAGCTACGTGATGTCACGCACTGAACTGATGATTTACAAATGTATAGCAACTGTACGCGCATGTGCGTCCTGTCAACAATTGCCTGCACCCATTCGCCCAATTACAAACCAACTACTAACAGAAATGTCCAACATTGTGTCACTTGACACATCTTTGGAAATGGAACTTCTTTTGTTGTTTTCTTCTAAATGACAGCATGCCAGAAAGGAATAATTTCACTGGGAGATTAGTGTCATTACCATCTGTAAACCAAGTAAGCTTTTTCAACAGTATTTTGGTCGGTCACTTTTTGGATAGCGGCAAATGGCCTACTCTACCTTTTAAGTTGTCCTAACCGTAAGCATATTTCCCAACGTAAATGTACAAATGCTTGCACACATGTTGAGAATTCTATGGTTATATGAATAGTTTTAGCAAATGTTATGTCTGAAGTTAGAGTGACCATGTTGAAAGGGACGCAAGCTACGTTAACAGAAAATCAGGATAGAGCAGTGCCATGAAATTTGGCACTTGGACAAAAGCCTACATAACAAACTTTGTAGCTTGTCTCCTTCCACTAATATGTGAATTGGAAGCCTTCACAGTGAAGATTGCAAGGCCTGTTACCATAACAACTCATCGTACCTTCCGTTCTTCCAGTTCCCGTCGTTGCAGTTCGCCCTGCTCTTTGGCCAGGCGGAGTTCCTCCATGCGCTCCTTGTGGCGTTCCTCATTTTCCTGCTCACGTTTCAGACGGATCGCCTGATGAAAATTCACACAATCAATATAAATATCAATCACAAATATCAATCAAAAGTCAAAGCACAAGTTTGTCACAAGTCAAAGCACAAGTCCATCACAAGTCAAATCACAAGCCCATCATAAGGCAAATCACAAGTCCATCGCAAGTCACATCACAAGTCCATCATAAGGCAAATCTCAAGCCCATCACAAGTCACATCACAAGTCAAATAACGAGTCAAATCACAAGTCCAAAACAAGTCAAATACCAAGTCCAGAAGTCAAAAGTCCATCACAAGTCAAATCACAAGTCCATCACAAGACAATTCACAAGTCAAATCACAAGTCCATAACAAGACAATTCACAAGTCAAATCACAAGTCCAGAAGTCAAAAGTCCATCACAAGTCAAATTACAAGTCCATCACAAGACAATTCACAAGTCAAATCACAAGTCCATCACAAGACAATTCACAAGTCAAATCACAAGTCCAGAAGTCAAAAGTCCATCACAAGACAATTCACAAGTCAAATCACAAGTCCATAACAAGACAATTCACAAGTCAAATCACAAGTCCAGAAGTCAAAAGTCCATCACAAGTCAAATCACAAGTCCATCACAAGACAATTCACAAGTCAAATCACAAGTCCATCACAAGACAATTCACAAGTCAAATCACAAGTCCAGAAGTCAAAAGTCCATCACAAGTCAAATCACAAGTCAAATCACAAGTCCATCACAAGACAATTCACAAGTTCATCACAAGTCAAATCAAAAGTCCAGAAGTCAAAAATCCATCACAAGCCAAAATCATAAGCCGGTCACAAGTCGTATCACAAGTCCATCAAATTACAAGACTGCAACTAGTCATATCACAAGTTCATCACAAGTTCATCACAAGTCACAGTGCTCAAGTAACATCAATAACAAAGCAATGCCTTGAGTACGTCATGACATGACTCGAGACCGGAAGGCTTATGTGGTGGACTTGCAAGGACTTGCCAACTCATAATTGCTAGCTTTGTCGATATAAATTCATATCAGGTTAGCGGGGAGTCAGGTTGGAGTAGCGGTACTTTCCTCGCCTTCCACCGCTGTGACTCGTCAGTTCGAGTCCCGCCTGGGCCAACATGTGGATTGGTTTTCAGTCCCTGCCTGATTCCGTTTGTTTTCCCAAGAATATTATTCTGGGGTTTTCCTCCCACCACTAAAACTGTAATTTCCTTCCACATCTTCTACCAAGGGACCCCACTGGAAATGAGTCGAAAGATTTTCATGGGCTATCCCGGCCAAATGCTATAATAAAATGCTGAATAACAGGGTTCAAAATTAGTGGTAGCCCGCTAGCCAAATGCTAGTCAAAACAGCGATGGGCTAGTCAAACTACTTAAGTAGCCCGGTTGGCGAGTGAGAAAGTATTGGGATTTGGGATACCGCAAAGATGAAAGGACAGGAAGAAATAAATCATTAAATTCAGAAAGAAAACCCCATGAATTTGTGTCTAATTTTATCAACTGTTTTTGAAGGTTAAATTGTTAGATCTGTTGATTAAAAACACTGACAAAATTTACTCAGAATTGAGCATGAAAATACGCCATTTTGTATTTTGAGATAAGAAAAAAAAATGCGGGCTAGTGAAAATGCCAGCAGGCTAGTTTACAGTCCGTTTTAGTAGCCCGGCTGGCTGGTGTACACAAAAGTTAAGGTCGAACCCCGAATAATCACATAAAATACCTCAGCTTTCAGCTCAGCTTCGTTGAGTTCAGGCTTGTCTTCAGATTGTTCCCTCGACATCCTGTCGATAACAAATAACAGACACACAAAATCAAGGCAAGTAAATTCAACACTTGTCTAGCAAGCAGTCATTCGAGGTAGTGCTGTGATGCTGTAGAAATTATGTTCCAAAGCGCTAACGGATCTTTACAAATGGCTCTAACACACAGCTTGTGAATGGGTCGTGTATTTAATATACATGTAGTTTCACCTAAACTCGGTTAAGAAAGTAAAAGTTGTAATGCACACAAGAACAGTTTTACATCCTGTTTCTATAAATATTCTGTTATTTTTTTATTTTTTTTACCAAAATAAAAGTGAAACTCACCTAGTAGGGGCTTTTCTCTGCAAAGGAAGGAAATAAAATACACAGTATTTAGTCTCCAATGTTCATTGTGTTTTTGGATCAACATTGCGGAAAATTCAGATGTTATGTTTGAGTGGTATTGATTTCAGTTTCGCTGGAATTGTTTATATGAGAGTGCAAGAGTCAACCAATCCACTTCAAGTCGTCAATTTATTAAAATGACCAGTTCTGTGAAAATGAGTCACGTGTGGAAGTGGAAATTATGATTAGGTTAAGCTTTTATTTAGTGTCTTTTGTTGGAAATCCTAGGTAAGTAGTTTGGAATGATGTACCCATTGAAAAGCTGGATTTCTGTGGTGGTCACAGTTTTCTTTGCAGAGATGAAAACAATTAGCAGGCTCTCGGAATTTCAAATTTTATAAATGACACAAATCAATATTTGATAAAAGAGAAATTGTTCTGCTTAGTTTAACCTTGATAAATAATTTATATTAGGATAATAATTAATGAACTGTAAGGCCCCCAAACTGTGTGTTTACTGTAACACCCTAAAAAATGTGTGTAACAATGACTCTGAGAGAAATCAGGATCTGATACACCGTGCCCTCTGGAGACATGCACACAATAGGGAACAAAAGATTGTATACGTCTCCACAGGGCAATTTGTATAAATGAATACATCTCCACAAGGTTTCACGGAATAGATATATGGATTTTACTCAAAAACTAGGAATTTCCAAGGTGGGTTGATCTGTCGCAAATCGAAGAGTTTTATAAAAGGGATATTAAGTCCGAATTTCAGCCAAGGAAATTAATTCTGGTCAAAATAAGAGCATTTTGAAACTTCACTTTCAAACTCGAAAACTTTACTACACGAGAACAAAGAAATAACTCCATAGTGATACAAATTTCAGTATGTGTGTTAGTATATGTGCATAAACATGTACAAAATCACACCCATGACACCACACACACAGACACGTTTGTTTATGGTGTAAATCGAGGATTTTCTTTTGTTCCTCTTCCCTTTTCCTTTGTTTGTACCCTACTTTTTTTGCAACAGCTGTCATTGGTTTTGTACACGTTTTCTAATCGAGGTCGTCCTCGATTTGGTTCCTGTCCTCGATTCACCGATGATGCTGCATGTGTGTGTCCTCGATTAACACCATAAACAAACGCACCACCCTTGACATTAAGGTGCTGAACTGTTGGGAGAAGAAGGTGTGGCGGGGGAAGGGGGTGCGGGAAGAACAACAATCAAGTTATGCATTACTGAAACTTCAACAAGGAATGTCAATTATTCATGTATCACACAATGAAATTAAAGACAATGGACCCCATTTGCAAACATTCAAAAATGAAACTGTCCAAATCTCATGAAACAACCTACTTGATTGTAAGTAAAGCACCATACCCCCCCCCCCTTTTTGGAACAAAAATATTTGGGTTGTGCATGATTTCCTAGGTAGTTGGGGTCAAGGGCAGATCCAGAACCAACTTTTTGGTGGGCCAAGAGAGCTCAAGTATTTTTTTTTTTCAAAAGGGGAAGGGGATTAAGTATATAGTATCGTGCGCTATTTCCACATTGTAATATTAAAACTAAAAGGTATGTGTGCAGCTGATGGCTTGCGAGGGAGATACGCAATATTTTAATTTATTTCCTGAAAATTAAAAAAGGGGGGGGGGGGTGGTAAAGTACATTATTACTGTACACGTGGTTGCGTCGGGTTCGACAGGACATTATGCACAGCCGAAGACGGACAATCTTGGAGCTAGCCCACCAAATAATGGAGATAAATGCAGTGACTTGTCAACATGCTAAATTCAATCATTGGTGCACCTTAATTTTGCCCTTTCATTGCAAGCATTGGCATTCCTAGCGCTATCATCAAGTACATTAGTACAAACTCTGTTAATACAAAATTCTGGTTATAACATACATAAGGCCTTGGTCCCGACTGTGCATTTATGTGCACAATGAATGGGACTGATGTTCCTCTTAATACAAAATTCTGATATAACAAACAATATGGCTAGGTCCGAACGAGTTTGTATTAACAAGACTCGACTGTACTTGCCAAACTTCCAAACTGACTATTAAGGTTTTGGCTGCAGCGCTAACAATAGACATGTTATAGCACGTGCAAGATTGTAAAAATTGGGACATGTCATGAATGTTCATTACAATATACCAACACCCCCCCCCCACAACTCCACCCCCCCCCCAAAAAAAAAGTAGCGATGCATGTAGGCCTACATGTTGTATGCCACTTTACCAATTAAAATTTGGGTCATATACACTGTAGGTTGCAACAACTTTTTTTTGGTGTTCCACATATTGTGAGAAAATTACATGTGCAACAATGTCAAAAGCTGAAAAACATTCTTGGGTGGAAGTGGTAGTTTTACAATGCTGTGCAAACAGGCAACACAAAACCATGCACAACCAAAAAAAACCAACGTTGACATATCCAAACAGGAAATGCAACAGGATCGGGGAAAGTAAACCCCGCCACTGCATGTATTACTTTACGTGAATGTTTAATTGACCCTTGAAAGTTCAAGCACAAAAAAAATGTAGGCTTCCTGCACAGTCGAGGAATTTGGCAGAACGCGGAAGATACCAACGAAATTGAGACTGTATTTATAGACACACAATGGATTATAGAGGAACAGATATGCATGATCTGAGAGGCTTTCTAGATACCGTAAATGAGACGGAATTGGGCTTATTTATTCAGGCTTGCGAGCTACAGTGCCGACGGCACTTTTAAGGAATCCTTGTTTTCATTACCAGGAAGAAAACAACTAAAAATAAAATAAACATGCCGGAGTGGAGAAAAATGCAAAACAACTGAATTGGGATAATTTTTTTTTTTGATTTTCAGGTTTACTGACATTTGTTATCTTTGAAATGTCTACTACACATATTTTAAAGAAACAGTATAAAAATCATGCAAAAAAAAAAGGTTTTTAAGGAAAAACAATTGGCATCTTTCATTTTCATGACTACAAAACAGTCAATACTTATTTTAAGGTTTTTTCTCTCAGTATTTTACTTTTTTGACATGTCAATAAATGCAAACTTTAAACAGCTGCAACTTCTGAACGGAAAGCCCGATTGAAGTGCAACAAACAGTATTGTAAGGATAATTTTATTCTCTTTCCTAATACCTGCAAACCCTCATTTTGACCTCTGCCCAGTTCTGTCTCACTTTGCCAGAACGCCTCACATACAAAAGTAAAGTTCAATTTTCCTTTGGGCTTGCAACTTTCCGATGGAAAACAAAAGGAAATTAGAATTGTTAGTTTCACAAAATGTCACAACAAACTTCACACACAGTTTCAGATGTACGCATACTTAAGAATTAGTAAAAAATGAAATTAGTGAGTAACATGCACTTCACACAACTGAACTTTGACCTACAAGCAGTTTGGACTTAGCGTTACTGATAGACTCCTCCTCCTCACTTGATTGGTCGTTGCTCTGCTAAGGGTAATGAATAGTAATGATTTAAACCACAAAAATATGAATATTCACGTTGACTGTTAACTTGTGCTGAACAGAAATGTCAGTGATGTCATTATCATGCTAATTAACACTAGCTTGTACAATGTAAGTATTGTTGCCATTTTCAAGAGAAATTTTACCACTTTTGCTTTTTGTCAAAAGTAAATATTTTGTTAACATGTGACCAGCTCCACAAAAAAGGGTATTATGTTGCAAAACAGTGAAAATGATTTACATGGTTGCAATGCCCACAATATAAGCTTTCATTTAGTATATAATAGAACTCCATAGCCCCTCCTGTTCTGGCTTTCTGGAGATATAACATGTTTACATATTAATTTCTTCCTTGGAGTTCAAATTATACAACTGAGAAAACAGGCTTTAAAATAGCTGGCTTTGTTGTAGAACAACAGAACGATGCACACAAAATAATCATTTTACCCACTTTATTCATTAAAAAATCAATGTTTCTGTGATTGAAACCTAAAACTGTAGGTACTAAAGATGTCATTCTTGACGAAAAGTTAAAATCACATTTTGATAAAATTTTCACCCTCTCAACGTTGAGCAGGCCATTACATGATAATGCACAGTGCGACTTAATACCTTTTTTGTGGAGCCGGTCACATATCATTTTTCAATGCTCTCCCCCCTCCCTGCCCCCCAGACTCGGGACTCGGCATTGCTTGGGAGTATCACCCATTGTCCAATGGAGCCCTCTCCGTAACCAACGTATGATATATTATGTGAGCAACGCAAATTTATGCGACCCCGCGCGACAGCCAATCAGAGTCGACTTTAGAAATGGTGAAATCATTTCGTTCAGAAATTTGGACTAAGTTGTTGATTGGTCAATTTTGGCTGACATGCTTTGTAATACAACAACGGGTTACCGAAGACCCGTTAGAAGGTGTCCGCTAAATGGTCAGAATTTTGAGGTCAAGACGCAGTCTCGTTTTGCATAATTAATTGCTGAATCTGCTCACATATCATAGACCCTTGCTGTACCAGGGGATACTCTATAGACTACCCCCCCCCCCCCCAACACCCACACAAAACAATAATTGATCTCATTGTAGGCCCTACAAGATATATCTACTGGAAAAAAAAATTGACACTGGTACGAATAAATGGTTGCTCTTCAAATACCTGTAAATATTTTAAACAAAAGGGCCTGAAAGTAGAAAAAAGTAACATTTTGCAATTTCTCAAATAAAATGGCATTTCCAGACTTTTTAATCATGAGAAATTTCTAAATGTCCTTTCACTGCAATTTTACATTTTTATTTTTAGAAAGAAATCTTTTGCTTGTAGTGAGTTATAGTGGATGGTTTAAAACCTGAACAAATTATATCGAAAAGCTGCAAAACGTTATTTTCGCTAATTCGTATTTAATTTGAGAGCAAAATAAAATGCAAAAAAATGCAAAACAATATTTTTTTTTAAATGTCCTTTCACAAAATTAGTGGAGTCAAAATCATTTGGCGTTATTCAATGTGTAGCTTTGTTGTTTAACAATATAAAAAAATATATAACTATATAAATATTAAATATTATAACTATATAAAAATACAAATAATTTTAGAAAAATCTTTAGAACTAACCAACTTCACTTCGATTTCCGGACCAGATTTGTTAGAGCTGCGAAATGAGGTCACCCTGACTGGAGATGAAGCTCTGAGTACAAATCAAAGAAAACAGGGGGTTTTTTTTGCTTTTGAAATGCCAGTTATTAAAAAAAAAAGGTAAAGGGGACGAACCTGTATTCACAGGAACGGAGTGCCCATCTCTCTTTCATAGCGATTGGGCCAGACTCATATGCTGCTGTGGGGGATCGCCACACCTCCGCCACAGCGAGTCTGTTACCTTCCCTGCATTGACCAATGCCGGTACCCATTTAACACCTGGGTTAAGAGGAGTAATTGAGGTGAAGTGCCTTACTCAAGGGCACAACACGCATTGCCACGGTGGGGTTCGAACCCACAACCTCTCGATCACGAATCCTGTGCTCCATTAAATTAAGTTATTAAAGGGGCACTAGGTCCTGAAATCCCCGAAAATGTTATGTTTTGGATTGTTTACTTAGCCTATTTCAAACATCTGGTTGAAAGGAAACCAACCTAACATGCCTAATGTCTTACCGTTCCCGAGAAAGACAAAAAAAAACAAACACTTGTTTACATCGGACATGACGGAGTACGAATACGTTTTTCGTGTCGTTCTCAGTGTACGAGGCACGTTGTGTGTCTCGGAAACAGCGGCGACCAATCACCAATGCAAAAAAAAGTGGTTTCTTCAAGGTCCGCAAAAGGCGAACACTTTACGAATGAAACCACAACTAGCATCCAAACAGCTTGAATTTATGGGGTCGCAAAAGTGGACCCCGAAATTCGTTCTCGCACGCATAATACAGGAATAACACAAAAACGCCCAGTTTTGAAAGGATAGTTGTGTGGATGTTTATATCCTACTTTTAAAAGTTATTTCCGATTAACATCAACTCGTTCAAAGCGCGTTTTGTAGCCCAATTGGGCTGTTCCAGGACCTAGTGTCCCTTTAACACCCTAACCGCCCTTAGTCCTTCAAAATCCTCTTTGCCAAAGTGGAGGAATTTGGAGGATGGAGGTTACATGGCAACAGTGCGTTACTGATTTCGTAGGATGCACTCTGTCACGGTCTTGGGCTGGACCTTGTGTTGTTTTTGCTCAGCCATGCATAAATATAGGCCTGGATTATGCTTGAAATCCTCTGTACTGCTCCAGGATGTCACTGGCCAAGCCTCAATATACCGGTACATTTGTACTGACAGTCACTGCTGCAGGATTTTGCAGGATTCAGGCAGTGGTCACTCCTCCACGGACAATATTTAAGAAATAATGGAGGAATTTGCAGGATTGAGGCTACATGCTATTTTTCCATGAGGCCAATTTGAGTCTTTGGCAGGATTGAGGCTACATCCTAGCAAAAAGGCCAAGGAAGTTTCAAATAAATAAAATTCCTTTGTTATAAAGCAGACTATGTGTTCTTCAACAAATTCCCCATGGGGGAATGGGACTTTTTGCGCCCTGGCATGAATGGGAGTAATAATAAATGTCACGTGATGTGAGTTCCACCAATCAAATGACAAGGATCTGTACATGTCCATTTACAAAGTAAAATATCACAATCACTGGAACTTACAGTTCGCGCTCTTCTTGCTCCTTCTCTTCGGCACGTCTGCGACGGCGCTCTTCGCGGCGTCTGGCGCGCTCATCAGCAGAATGATCGTAGCCCACGTCACCCATATTGACCTTAACTGTCGACGCTGATTATAACATAACAAGGAAATTCAATTTCGTGGAATGAAATCCTCAACAATGGATGGGATTTCTAAATTCCTTTTGTGGTTAAGTCCCCGGCCCCCACCAAAAAAAAATCAAACGTGGCACCAAAAAAAACCCACATAATGTCTTAATGCAATGCACAAACCATCAATCCAAGTCAAACAATTTCATCTTAAACTTAAACAACATGGCAAACATTTATGATTATGAACGTCAGTACAAAACTTATTAGGCCTACAGTCATGACAGTCATGACAGTCATGATGAGGGAACTTTCCAAATATTGAACTATTTTTAGGATAACTCTTCATATAATTTAGCCCCCTTGGGAAAAACAACTAAAAACTAAGCAATTGTTTCTGCAGCCCCTCTCCAGTTAGCTTGTGGGAGGAGTTTTACTGTTTTCTTTCTACTTGCCCCGCCCCCAAAAGAGAACTCTAAGTTAAGTATGGCCATTCCTCCATTGGTTTTGGTAGGGCCTTAACAAATCTCTGCACCGCACTGTAGCTGCTGAAGCACGAAGTTGTACAGTTTATTCATGCGGTTAAACAGGTTTTGAAACAAAAAACAATGTCAATACCTCATTGTTCACTCATGCGGACAATCGATATGTGTCACATAAATACAAACCTTTTTAAGAGAAACTACGAAAATTCCACAAGTGCTGTCACAAAACCAATCGCCTCCAAACTCGATCCGCTGGTACGTACAGGTGTGTGGTCACTGGTTCGCGTGCCTGCCTTTCTTCATTTTATTGTATCAGAATTTCCGTGCGGGCACCACTGAAGAGTTTACCGACCCCGGGCCCCTAGCGAAAAAACCCTTAAAGAAACTTAACATTCCAAAGTTTTTAGGGATCGTCCGGACAGTTTGTTTTGGTGTAATCATTAGCTACAAATTCAAGAGCCACCGGCCGAATGAAGGCAATTATTCATGGGGAAAATATAAATAGCGGAGACATCAATAAGCCTCTGTACTTATCGTTACACTTTGTTTACACGTGAGCCAGTTTTTTTTTGTTTTGGGGGGAGGGCCTCCATATGGGGGGGGGGGGGGGGGGGGCCTCCATATAAAAGGCACCATATAGCCTAGCAAAGCACACACGTAAACAAAGTGTGACGTCATCAATAAAGAGGCTTCGAAAGCAGAAGATTTGCATAACAAATCTGACAAGTTTATTCGTCTGACTGATATTTTTGGCCTCACATGCAGAATGTGTGCTTTTTAAAAACTGTTGTTTTATTAGTTAAATTAACAGTGAAACGATCAAAGTAAAAATAGTCAAACAAAAATTGAAACTCATCTTGCTGTTGTCCTTAGAGTCCAACCTACCAATTTAAAAATGAAAGCAAGAAAGCCACAGATATGAAGAATTATTCAAATTAGATCTATTGGAATAATTGTTTTTTAATAGCAGCATCGAATTGAAAAAAAAAATGTTTGCAATCATGAAATTCATGATTTGTTTTGTCGGTAGAGGGCGGTGTACAACTTTTACGGTGACAGCAAAAGTGCAACGTATACCGTAAGGGGCCAACCGCGGATTTTTAGGAATGTGGAAAATGTTAATTTCTAACTTTTATGACATAATATCAAGACCAATTATTGAACGAAATTTTGATTCAATGCAATGTGCTTTTCGTAAGTTATTGTCTCGAGAAAAAGTATTTATTTTTGTTCAATTAAAAGTGACTTGAATTGGGAATGATTTTTTTCGCGATAAATTCATAGTATATTCTTTAAATCATAATAATTTTAACCTTTAACGATTCCCGTCACTTTTTAAACATCTTGTGACGAAATTTCAATTCCATGCATCGTGTTTTTATGGTCTCCACAAAGAGTACAATCATGAAATAATTTGCAGGTACAGTGGCGATAAACTCACATTATATTCCTTTAATCATAATATATTTATCCTTCAACGGTTCCCGTCAATTTTCAAACTGCTTATGTCAAATATCACCGCCAAGTATTGGACGAAATTTCAATTCAATGCAATATGTTTTACTTGAGTTATCATCTCCACAAAAGAGTGCTTAGTTTTTGCTCGGATTGAAGAAAATGAGCCCGAAGTCTGAAGTTGTCTTGTCGGAAGAGGGCGGTATATAACTTTTACGGTGATAGCAAAAGTGCGATGTCTATGCACGGGGCCAACCGACGTGAAGTTTAAGGAATGCGGAAAACGTTAATTTTCTAACTTTTTATGTTATAATATCAAGACCAATTATTGGACGAAATTTCAATTCAATGCAATATGTTTTCCTTGAGTTATTATCTTCACAAAGTGTGTTTTATATTTGTTTAATTAAAAGTGACTTGAAATCGGAATGATTTTTTTGGCGATAAATCCACAGTATATTCTTTGAAGTCATAATAAATTTATCCTTCAACGGTTCCCGTCAATTTTCAAACTGCTTATGTCAACTATCCCGGCCAATTATTGAACGAGATTTCAATTCGATGCAATATTTTTTCCTTGAGTGATCGTCTCCACAAAGAGTGTTTTATTTTTGTTAAACTAAAATGACTTGAAATCGGAATGATTTTTTGGCAATAAATCCACAGTATATTCTTTAAATCATAATAACTTTATCCTTCAACGGTTCCCGTCAATTTTCAAACTGCTCATGTCAAATATCACCGCCGATTATTGAACGAAATTTCAGTTCAATGCAGTATGTTTTTCTTCAGTTGTCGTCTCCACAAAAGAGTGCTTTACTTTTGTATGGATTGAAAAAAATGAGCCCGAAGTCCAGAATTGTCTTGTCGGTAGAGGGCGGTATATAACTTTTACGGTGACAGCAAAAGTGCAACGTACACGCAAGGGGCCAACCGACGTGGATATTAAGGAATGTGAAAAATGTTAATTCAGTTCCAACGTTTTATGTCAAAATATCAGGACCAATTATCGAGCGAAATTTAGATTCAATGCAATGTGCTTTTTTTCTTGAGGTTTTGTCTCCACAAGAAGTATTTTATTTGTGTTCAGTTAAAAGTGACTTGAATTCGTGATGACTTTTTTCGTGATAAATCTACATAATATATTGTTTTAATCATAATAAATGTATCCTTCAACGGTTTCCGTCAATGTTCAAATTTCTGTTGTCAAATATCACGGCCATTTAGTGGGCGAAATTTCAATTCATTGCAGCATGTTTTTCTTGAGTTATTGTCTCCACAAAAAGTGTTTTATTTTTTTTCAATTAAAAATGGCTTGAATTCGGGATGAAGAAAATGAGCTCCAAGTCCGAAATTGTTTTGTCGGTAGAGGGCGGTTTATAACTTTACAGTGATAGAACAAGTGCAACGTCTACGCAAGGGGCCAGCCGACGTGGATTTTTAAGAATGAGTGGAAAAATGTTTGGACAAATAAATAAAAATAAAAATACCCGAAATATTAAACTGAAATTTCGTTAACTGAATTGCTATCAGGTGTAACATTAGGAGATTTAATTTCATGGATACCAACAAACAAAACAAATAATATGAGTATGACCGAAACAATAATGTTTTAAAGCGAAAAATACAATCCGAATGAAAGTCAACGTTCATGGAAAAATAACACACTCGTTTTGGGGTGATAACTCAGCAAATACCGATTGGTTCAGTGATCGGTTGTGATGTGTAACATTGAAAAAATGCATCAAACATTTCAACTTAAATGACCGAAACAATTAAGTATTTTAAACGCATACGGCCAATTATTAGACGAAATTTCAATTCAATGCATCGTGTTTTTCTTGAGTCTTCTTTTCTTTGTGTCTTCACAAAGAGTACAATCATAGGGAATAATTTGCAGGTACGGTCGCGTTAAATCCACAGTATATTCGAAAAATCATTTTAAATTTATCTTTCTCCTGTTCCCGTCAATTTTCATATATCTTTTGTGAAATATCACGGCCAATCATTGGACGAAATTTCAATTCAATGCAATATGTTTTTCTTGAGTTATTGTCTCTACAATGGAAAATGTCTGTAGACTGGGACTTCATTTAGGCAGATTTTTCTCCGTGATGAAAAAAACGTTAATGATGACAACATTCGTTTGTCTTAATACTTTATAGGCTTGTTTTGCAAGTCATCACCAATCACTAGGCGAGATTTTATATCAGCGCAACAGGTATTAAATAACTTATTGTTCAAGTAACGTGACTGTTGTTTCTGCGTGTTAAATAGTCATGAAGATTGTCTGAAGACTGGGACTTCATTTAGACAGGTTTTTCTCCGTGATGACAAAAAGTAATCGTCAATGACAACATTATTCGTTTGTCTTTATACTTTATAGGCTGGTTTTACCAGTCATGACCAATCACTAGACGAGATTTTATATCAGTGCGACAGGTACTTAATAAGTTATTGTTCAAGCAGCGTGAGTCTTGTTTTAGCGTGTGCAATGGTCATGAATTTTTCTGAAGACTGTGACTTCATTTAAGTAGGTTTTTCTCCGTAATGACAAAACTCAATGGTTAATGACAACAATAATCGTTTGTCTTTATACTTTATAAGCTTGTTTTACCAGTCATGACTAATCACTAGGCGAGATGTCATATTAGTGCGACAGATATTTAATAAGTTATTGTTCAAGCAACGTGAGTGTTGTTTCTGCGTGTTCAATGGTCAGGAAGAATTTCTGTAGACTGGGACTTCATTTAGGCAGGTTTTTCTCCGTGATGACAAAAATGAATTGTCAATGACAACAATAATCGTTTGTCTTGATACTTTATAAGCTGGTTTTACCAGTCATGACCAATCACTAGTCGAAATGACATATTAGTGCGACAGATATTTAATAAGTTATTGTTCAAGCAACGTGACTGTTGTTTCTGCGTGTTAAATAGTCATGAAGATTGTCTGAAGACTGGGACTTCATTTAGGCAGGTTTTTCTCCGTGATGACAAAAAGTAATTGTTAATGACGACAACAATCGTTTGTCTTTATGCTTTAAAGGCTTGTTTTGTCAGTCATGAGCAATCATTAGACGAGATTTCAAATCAGTGCAACAGGTATTTAATAAGTTATTGTTCAAGCAACGTGAGTGTTGTTTCTACGCGTAGAATAGTCATGAAGATTGTCTGAAGACTGGGACTTCATTTAGGCAGGTTTTTCTCCGTGATGACAAAAATAAATTGCCAATGACAACAGTTTTTGTTTGTCTTGATACTTTATAAGCTTGTTTTACCAGTCATGACCAATCACTAGACGAGATTTTATATCAGTGCGACAGGTACTTAATAAGTTATTGTTCAAGCAACGTGAGTCTTGTTTCTGCGTGTGCAATGGTCATGAATTTTTCTGTAGACTGGGACTTCATTTGGGCAGGTTTTTCGCGGTGATGACAAAAATGAATGTCAATGACAACAATATTCGTTTGTCTTTATACTTTATAGGCTTGTTTTACCAGTCATGACCAATTACTAGATGAGATTTAATATCAGTGCAACAGGTATTTAATAAGTTATTGTTCAAGCAGCGTGAGTCTTGTTTCTGCGTGTTCAATGGTCAGGAAGAATTTCTGTAGACTGGGACTTCATTTAGGCAGGTTTTTCTCCGTGATGACAAAAAAATAATTGTCAATGACAACAATATTTGTTTGTCTTTATACATTATAGGCTTGTTTTGTCAGTCATGACCAATCACTAGACGATATTTCATATCAGTTCAACGGGTATTAAATAGGTTATTGTTCAAGCAACGTGAGTGTTGTTTCTGCGTGTTCAATGGTCAGGAAGAATTTCTGTAGACTGGGACTTCATTTAGGCAGGTTTTTCTCCGTGATGACAAAAATTAATTGTCAACGACGACAACATTTGTTTGTCTTTATACTTCAAAGGCTAGTTTTACCAGTCATGACCAATCAGTACTGGAAATTTCTCATCAGTGCAAGCGGTATTTAATAAGTTATTGTTCAAGCAGCGTGAGTCTTGTTTCTGCGTGTGCAATGGTCATGAATTTTTCTGTAGACTGGGACTTCATTTGGGCAGGTTTTTCGCGGTGATGACAAAAATGAATTGTCAATGACAACAATATTCGTTTGTCTTTATACTTTATAGGCTTGTTTTACCAGTCATGACCAATCACTAGACGAGATTTTATATCAGTGCAACAGGTAGTTAATAAGTTATTGTTCAAGCAGCGTGAGTCTTGTTTCTGCGTGTGCAATGGTCATGAATTTTTCTGTAGACTGGGACTTCATTTGGGCAGGTTTTTCGCGGTGATCATGACAAAAATGAATTGTCAATGACAACATATTCGTTTGTCTTTATACTTTATAGGCTTGTTTTACCAGTCATGACCAATTACTAGATGAGATTTAATATCAGTGCAACAGGTATTTAATAAGTTATTGTTCAAGCAGCGTGAGTCTTGTTTCTGCGTGTTCAATGGTCAGGAAGAATTTCTGTAGACTGGGACTTCATTTAGGCAGGTTTTTCTCCGTGATGACAAAAATGAATTGTCAATGACAACAATATTTGTTTGTCTTTATACATTAAAGGCTTGTTTTGTCAGTCATGACCAATCACTAGACGATATTTCATATCAGTTCAACGGGTATTAAATAGGTTATTGTTCAAGCAACGTGAGTGTTGTTTCTGCGTGTTCAATGGTCAGGAAGAATTTCTGTAGACTGGGACTTCATTTAGGCAGGTTTTTCTCCGTGATGACAAAAATTAATTGTCAACGACGACAACATTTGTTTGTCTTTATACTTCAAAGGCTAGTTTTACCAGTCATGACCAATCAGTACTGGAAATTTCTCATCAGTGCAAGCGGTATTTAATAAGTTATTGTTCAAGCAACGTGAGTGTTGTTACTGCGTGTTCAAGGGTCAGGAAGAATTTCTGTAGACTGGGACTTCATTTAGGCAGGTTTTTCTCCGTGATGACAAAAATAAATTGCCAATGACAACAGTTTTTGTTTGTCTTGATACTTTATAAGCTGGTTTTACCAGTCATGACCAATCACTAGACGAGATTTTATATCAGTGCGACAGGTACTTAATAAGTTATTGTTCAAGCAGCGTGAGTCTTGTTTCTGCGTGTGCAATGGTCATGAATTTTTCTGTAGACTGGGACTTCATTTGGGCAGGTTTTTCGCGGTGATGACAAAAATGAATTGTCAATGACAACAATATTCGTTTGTCTTTATACTTTATAGGCTTGTTTTACCAGTCATGACCAATTACTAGATGAGATTTAATATCAGTGCAACAGGTATTTAATAAGTTATTGTTCAAGCAGCGTGAGTCTTGTTTCTGCGTGTTCAATGGTCAGGAAGAATTTCTGTAGACTGGGACTTCATTTAGGCAGGTTTTTCTCCGTGATGACAAAAAAATAATTGTCAATGACAACAATATTTGTTTGTCTTTATACATTATAGGCTTGTTTTGTCAGTCATGACCAATCACTAGACGATATTTCATATCAGTTCAACGGGTATTAAATAGGTTATTGTTCAAGCAACGTGAGTGTTGTTTCTGCGTGTTCAATGGTCAGGAAGAATTTCTGTAGACTGGGACTTCATTTAGGCAGGTTTTTCTCCGTGATGACAAAAATTAATTGTCAACGACGACAACATTTGTTTGTCTTTATACTCCAAAGGCTAGTTTTACCAGTCATGACCAATCAGTACTGGAAATTTCTCATCAGTGCAAGCGGTATTTAATAAGTTATTGTTCAAGCAACGTGAGTGTTGTTACTGCGTGTTCAATGGTCAGGAAGAATGTCTGTAGACTGGGACTTCATTTAGGCAGGTTTTTCTCCGTGATGACAAAAATTAATTGTCAATGACGACAACATTTGTTTGTTCTTATGCTTTAAAGTCTAGTTTTACCAGTCATGATTAATCAGTAGGGGACATTTTATATCAGTGCGACAGGTATTTAATAAGTTATTGTTCAAGCAACGTGAGTGTTGTTTCCTTGTGTTAAATAGTAATGAAATAAATAGTCATAAAATACATTTATTTTTCAACTGTTCCCGTACTTTTTCAAAAGTCCTTTGTCAAATATGACGGCCATGGACGAAATTTCAAATCAATGCAATATTTTTCCTTGGGATTGAAGAAAACGAGCCCAAAGTCCGAAACTGTCTTGTCGGTAGAGGGCGATATATAACTTTTACGGTGACAACAAAAGTGCAACGCATATGCAAGGGGCCATCGCCAGCCGACGTGGATTTTTAGGAATGTGGAAAATGTGTGGAGGACGATAATGAGGCAAATGGTTTCAGTGTGTTGGCTCGCTGTCTGACTGTCTTAAGATTTGAGTTGGAGTTCAAGGGAATATCGACCAAGGAGTATCGAGTAAGGTAAATTAATCCTTTCTTTAATTCTGTGTGTAGGCCTAATCAACTTTCTAACCATTTAGAAAAAGAAATAGTAATTTTCTTTCAGTAAATCAAAAATGTCCGTCGAACGCACTATTGTGCTGCTCCAGTATGATTTCTAAACAAGAAATCACAAGAACCACAGTTTCAGTTGTGAAATCCCATTTGCTCCTTGAAGTTCTTTCTTCAAATTGTTTGCTTTACTTAAACATTCCTTGTATGCTTTATTCAGTTTTGAATGCCCTTTATAGAGTTAAATATATCAAATTTAGGATTTCGTGAATTGTAAAAATGCACCGGTCATGCTAAATCCGTCAGCTTCAACATTTGTCCCCGTATGAATTAAAACAATATGAAATTCATGTACATATCGTTTATTCGTTATGTTCCTTTATTTGAACGCAGACTCAGTCTACTCGGATAGTTTACTTAGTGTTTCGGATGTTATGATGTTTCTTCCGCGTGTATGCGTACTGTTATTATTTACATGTCAGTCAACTTAAAGTCGGCCATTCACAGGAAAAGAAATGACCAACAGCAATCTTTCAAGCTATTTTATTCATCTGATTACCTGCAATTAAATACAAAAACTTCACTCGAGGCATCAAGAGATTTGTTGGATTCATTTCATACAAAAATTAGAATTATTATAAGCACAGTTCGGTATGATCACCCCTGTGGAATTTCAACGGCCCGTTTCCGCGCAGCGCAACACTGCTGCCCAAATATGGAGCGCTGTTGCAAGTGAACGGGCGCTCAGCTGTCGTTCGTGTAAGTGCATGGCCCACACGTTTAAAGAACTTTGGGTTATTCAGTTATTTTGCAGGAATAAAAAATGATACCGTCTGTAATATAATGACTTATCAGAAGGAAATTTGGGCCGGTTGATGTATGTTATGTTGAACATTCGATTTAGGGCCAGGGCTCACATAATACCATATAGGTCAAAAAATCATGTTTAGCATCCTGCTTTTTTGAAAAAAAGGGAGGAGGCCCTTTTTTTTACCTTCCCAAATGGCCGCCCGATCGGGCTATTTTTCAAGATGGCCGCCAGCTTTTTGTTTTTTAATGGCAGCCATTTGGACTCAGGAATGACATACCAGCTTTATGGGCTAGATGCAACAGGCAAAGAGGTCAAAATGATGTCACTGTTTAAAATTCATCATTTTTTCCGTGAAAAAAAAGAGGAAAAAAAACGAAGGAGGCGGCCTCCAAAAAGGAACGGGCGGGGACGTTAAACATGTTTTTTTTATTTGACCTTACAATAAAGCATCAAAACGTCACAATCGGAAAGCATTAAATAGTCTGATTTCTCTATTTATTTAAAAACAGCTGTAGTTTTTCAAGTGACTATAAAGGGATCCTATACGTCCGATTTCATGGTGCTGCCGATCAGCCGATAAAATTGAAATCGATAATTAAAACTTTCAATCGCTCTCGGCAAAACTCAGTCGAACATAGGCCCCTGCATACATCACTTGGGCAGTGGTAATCTGGATGCTAAGCCAAACAACTTCTGCTCAGCAAAATTGTGTGCTGATTGAAGCGTCGCTGAGTTTCAAATAATTCACATCATAGATTATTATGCGCGGTACATAGCACTGATACATGTTGATCAGCTGCAAGTGAATGAAAGAGTAATGACGAAAAAATGGCAATGACGAAAAAATGGCAATGACCTAAAATGATGACCTAAAATGGTAATGACCTAAAAATGGTAATGACCTAAATGGTAATGACCTAAAATGGCAATGGATTCGAATAAAAAGAAGAAGATGATATTATAATAAAAGATTGCTTTTTAATTTCATGTTTCTAAAATTTATTGTTGAAAGTGTTTTCTTTTTTCCTTTTTTTCCAAACAGATTTTCGTTCCCTACTCGTGGTAAGAGCGGAAGCGATTCATCATGGCGGCGCCAGAAGGGTAAGACGTCATTTTGTTCATATCATTTTTTCCCTTCGTGTAAGTTCACAATGACATTCGCCAGAGGGCGGTATAGGATTTGACATTCATTTGTCTCCACCGCCTATATACCGTGTAATGTGTTCCTTCAAATATATTTTTCCTGCATCTCTAATTATTCAGGACTCACCTTAACAAGCTTTCTAGCTTTTTTGGACGACATCGACAATTTCATGTCTTATCTTATTCATCACTGATAAAGTCCCTTCGAATGTTCATATTGTACAAAATGTGTTGATGTTTTTCCAACTTCAGATTCTATAAAAATTAAATCAACAGCTAGATTTTATTAAGTTTTTCCGGATCGCGTATCTTTTTTTAAGCACACATCGTATTAACCAATCACATCACGCACTCTAACATTTATCACGCTGTGTGGATGGAAGAAAATAGGTTCTCGTAGTGTTTTCCCGTCAATGAAATTTATCCAAACCAACAAAAATATTTGATGAAAATGGACATGGGTTCGAACCAAGATCCATAGTTCATTCTACCACCATGATTCCACTATCAACTAGGCCACTGTGGCAGCTCGACGAAAGCCGTTCTTTAAAATGTGTGTACATGCATGGCCGAGTGATGATGATGATGATTTTTGTCCTTCGCATCGTTGACGGACTTGATGCACATTGTGTGGTTAGTGAATGAAATAAAATGACATGCATGGTGACGGAGCTCAAACAAAACTACCAAAAACGCGTTTCAGTGAACAAAATCAAGACAAAGTTGTTTCTATATATACAGTCATGAACAACCAGTGGCGTAGACACCGCCCCCCCCCCCCCATGAAACCTTGTCACCCCCCCAGTCGCCCCCCCCCCCCACTGAGATTTTGAGTGTCTAAACAAATTATCATTGATCTACATGACGCCCCCCCCCCATGAAATGTTCCAGCCCCCAGCGCCCCCCCCCCCCTCCCCCCACTGAAAAATTCCTGGCTACGCCACTGTGAACAACATACGTTTTCCTGCAATTATCAATCCTAGTAAAGCTAAGTAAACTGCCCGGCATTCGTTCTGAATTACGGAACAATTTTAAATTTGATACAGAAAAGCGAAAAGATACTGCTGCTAAAGTTGGTAATCTTGGCAGTCCGAGTTTCGTGGTTTTTATCATTCCAGATCCAAGACGCTGTGATCGATTCCCCAATATTCCCTCGTTGATGTGTTATCTGAATCGATTCCTAGCTCGATCTGATCGAGTCCATCCTTTTATTCGATTACCGACTTACTAAACAGTCTAGTGTATCAACTTAGGTTGATCCATCCCTTTCGTTAGTGACTTCGTCATAATACGCGTGCGCACCACTGATTACTCGCCAGTGGCGTAGCCATGGGGGGGGGGCGTGGGGGGGGGGTGGGGGGGGGGCGACAGCCCCCCCCCCCCCCATGAAACCTTGTCGCCCCCAGTCGCCCCCCCCCCCCACTGAGATTTTGAATTTCTAAATTTTTTTATCATTGATCTACATGACGCCCCCCATGAATGTTCCAACCCCCCAAGCGCCCCCCCACCCCCCCCCCCCCCCCCCCCCCCCCCACTGAAAATTTCCTGGCTACGCCACTGTTACTAGTACCCATGGATAAACACTCATCAAGTTGCGTTAACTTCCGGTTCCAATATTTCAAATGCTACTTATTATGCAGTGGGCGTGATTTAAACTGATGGTCACACTAACGTACCGGATAGAGCTATCAATTTTAATCGTACTAACGCGTTATAATACGTCTTGGCCAAGACTACTAATATGGATGCATGCCGCTAAATCCCACGAGCACTGTTCACCACTGCATGGGGTCAGGGGGGACAAATCTCGGGCTGTGCTCGGTGTAGAACTGGGAGAACCATTTGCGATGGCGGGCTGTTGAGCTGTCCTCCTTCACGTAGGGCGGGTTGGCATTGTAGGTCTTGTTAGCCCAGACCATGATATCGCCCTGCAACTGATAGTGGATGAAACACACACCAAAGAACAAATCAGAACCAAACATTAATAAAATACAGAACGTAGTGCCATTAAACCTCTGGAAAAAAAACACTGAAATTATTATATGCTTTTTGTCTTTGTCAGTTTAATACCCACTGCACCGAGTTGAAAAACCATTGCTTCATATTCTATTTCCAACAAACTATCACTGCCGAATCATTTTTGCTCCAACTTGTTTACTCAGAGGTACTAGCCTAGACAGCGATTTATAAAACAGACGTGAAACATTTTACCCATTCCTATTGGTCGAGAACCCGTCACGCGCGCCAATTTCCATATAAGGAGATTTTTAGCACTACGCGCGCAAGGTGCATACCATGGACATGTACATGGGCAGAGGGTTGTTCAGAAAACATGAGGCGAAATTGTTAAACAAATCGTTGAAATTTGTGAATGTTTCACGTGTTTTGACTTTTTAATCTGGTGGCCGATAATGTCCCTCGCCTTCGGCTCGAGCCATTATCAACGACCAGGCCCCTAGCCGGTTTTAAGCGTACTTGTTTAAACCGGCCAAGCACGTATATATTCCCGTAGTAAAATGGCCACAAATTCCATAACAATTGCGCAATTACCCAAAGAGTTGCAATACAGGATATCATATCAAGGAGTTTGCACAGTATTCTACAGATGCAGGTGCAGAACCAGAGCGCCTGAATTATGCTATATGGTGGACGCAATCATGAAGGAGGGCGCTATTGTTACATTCAGTAAAACACTGTGTACATGTCAATTAAATTCGATATCTTTCTTTACAAATCTTTGTTCTTGGAGTGGTCACATGACGGACGGTGACTTCGCTTATAACAGCCAATGGGCTCTCCCGATTTTTAAATGGAGATCAGTGTTGCAATTACAGGTTGGTTTAGTGGTACTTTCCTCGCCTTCCACCGCTGTGACCCGGGTTCGAATCCCTCCTGGGTCAATATGTGGATTGGGTTTTCAATCCCTACCTGATTCCGTGGGTTTTCCCCAAAATGTCTTCTGGGCTTTTCCTCCCACCTCTAAAACTGTAATTTCTTCTCATTGTCTTCTCTCTAAGTTGGTTTGATGTTTCCCCTGGGATGCTTTACCGACTATAAAGATACAGATACAGATACCCGAATTTACCCAATCTAAATAGCGCCCTCTTACTGTGTCCGCCACATCCAAAAACTAAAAAGGCTTTATATTGGCACCCAATGTTGCTTAGAAATTCACTTACTCCGAGAAAGGAGAAATACATTTGTAGCTTGTTGAAGAGGGCGTACTTGAATCCACGTGTCATGAATTTGGTGAAGATGACCTTCTGTCTGAGCGGCTGGACGGGTGTGGCGACCACAATTATGACGCCCGCCTTGGAGTAAACGTAAGACATGCCAGGCCCGTGCTGTGTTGTAAAATACAGGCATTACGATTACATGTACTACATTGACAATTTAAAAAAAAAAAAAGGTAGGTTAATGAATCGGGAGGCTTGCAGTAACACCATGTGAATGATATCTCTTTGTGAGTTGAGTGGTTCAGAGAAGAACCAGTTGGTTTAACTCGACGTTTCGAACAGTATGCTCTGTTCGTCATCAGGCGAGGGTGTTATCAAGAAAACAGCTTGGTATATCCATTGTACTCTAGACAAACACCAGCCCCACTGCCAAGAACCACATGTTTGTGTAATATCGTTTAGCAACATGTTTCGGGCGAATAAAAAACGTGAACGTAAACGCGAAAAGTGGATGACGCAAACAGTGGCCCGCCAGCCTCATCCTCCGTTCCCTGACCTTGGCAGATACTCTGGGCAGGGTGTCGTAGGGCTGGATGTTGGGCACGTGGTCTTCCCAACTGACGTTGAGTGTCATCCGTAGCATTCGTGTGTAGACGCCGTCCAGTGCTCTCTCGTGCTTAGCTGTTAGCGTCCACGACTTGGCTCCACACAAAAGTACAGACTCAACTGTAGCCACGAAAAGATGTCTCTTAATGTCGTCGGTGAGACCAGCTTTCCATACTCGACTCAAACCATGAAGGGCCTTCCACGCTATAAAAGCTGTCCTCGCTCTCAATTCGCGCTCAGTCGATCAATATGAGGGCGCCGGGGTATTTCAGCTCTTCCCCGTCCTCACCACAGCTCTTCCCTGTCGGGGTATTTCAACTCCTGAACTACCTCTAGGATAGCGCCATCTCGGGGATAGCACCATCTCGGGACTCAGTGATTACCAGTATCTGACTTGATGATACTGTCCTCCAAGTTAAACGCCATCACCTTGGTCTTCTTCGAGTTGAGCTGTAGCTCTACTCGGCAGCAGTGGAGCTCTAAAGCTGCAACCACTTTTCGTGCTTGGTCCGCCGTGTCGGAGAGGAGCCGATGTCGTCAGCAAAGTCCAGGTCAGTGATCACCACTGCTGGTACTCTCCGACTCCGTCCGGCGCCTGGCGAGCGTGAAGCCCAGACTGCGCGCCTCGGCGCTAAGTCCAACACGAGCATGAACAAGAAGGGCGCTAGTGTGTCCCCCTGCAGAACTCCGGCCAGTATTTCGAAGAGGTCCGCGGTACCGTCTGGTATGGCGAGCCAAAGTAACAATATGTAGCATTAGCAAAGTCTTAAAACAATTTAAAGATATCTGTAAAGATATATCTCAATATTTAGAAATATCTCTAAATTGTTAGAGATATATGTAAATGATTTAGAGATATCTCAAAAAGATTTAGAGATATCTTCAAATGATTATTAAGATATCTCTAACTCTTTTAGAGATATATTTAAATCATTTAAAGATATCATTGAATACATTAAAGATATTGTCGATAGCACTAAGTTGTTTTAAAGACTTTGATATATAAATGTTACTTTGGCTCGCCATATTCTGGCGTGACCACCTTTGCCATCGTCTTACTGCAGCCTGTCAGGATGCCATCACCACCTTCTCTGGGCCGGACACCATACGCGCGAAGGATCTCGATGAGCTTGCCTCGGTGCAAAGTGTCGAATGCGTTTTTGAAATTAATGAAAT